ACTCGCCCTATTGCTCACCCAAATCAAGACACTATCTTATAGAGTACACATCATCAAACCTTACATCAGACCTTATTTTCAAAGACGAGTGATCCCTCCACTCGCCCTATCGCTCACCCAAATCAAGACACTATCTTATAAAGAGAGTACACATCATTAAACCTTACATCAGACCTTATTTTCAAAGACGAGTGATCCCTCCACTCGCCCTATCGCTCACCCAAATCAAGATACTATCTTATAAAGAGAGTACACATCATCAAACCTTACATCAGACCTTATTTTCAAAGACGAGTGATTCCTCCACTCGCCCTATCGCTCACCCAAATCAAGACACTATCTTATAAAGAGAGTACACATCATCAAACCTTACATCAGACCTTATTTTCAAAGACGAGTGATCCCTCCACTCGCCCTATCGCTCACCCAAATCAAGACACTATCTTATAAAGCGAGTACACATCATCAAACCTTACATCAGACCTTATTTTCAAAGACGAGTGATCCCTCCACTCGCCCTATCGCTCACCCAAATCAAGACACTATCTTAGCAGATTTGACTTGTATCCAAATCAATATGGTTGAGACAATTTTAATGTTAAACAAGCAGCCTCTCGACAGATAGCTCCCATGTTAGCAATGCACATTTCAATTAAAGAGTTGAAGGTATCTTGAAATGAGCAAATCTGAGAGAGGCCCGCCTGTAGTACCTATGCATATCAAAGTAATATATCAAAGTAATCTGATTGTGGAAATATCACTTTTTACCAAAAACGAGAAGTGGCTGACACGAACAAACCGAAACACACATATACAATAACAAAATGAAGGCAATCTATCTTTGAGCTTGGATCAACATTTTATATCAAGTCGATATATTCAGTTATCACATTATAATTATACACACATAATAGCAAGAAAAATATTTGATAGAGAAATCCTAGAATAAGTAGATCAAATTATATAACAAACCAACAGCTTGGGTACACCTGTAGTATTGCTTTTGAAAAAGTTCGTACAACTTTATGTACTATATTCCCGGGACTATATTTCACAAACAAAAGCATGCTTTTCCAGACAATCAGCTTTCACCTGGTCCTCATCGCACTTTAATAGCAAGCAGTTATCGTCATTACCAGCTAATAAAAGAAATGATATGTGTATACATATAAATATTAACTATGTATATATACTCCCCTAGCACAGCTCGACGTGTGCCAAATGCAATTATTTGCTTTCAGAAAAGCAATTTACTTATTTGATAAATAATTTATAACATAGTAACCAAACGTTTCACTATACAGTATACTAGTAAATATGATATATGGAAGATAATATTTGATAATCGTAGTCCTAAATAACTACGATTACCAAATATTATCTTCTATATATCATATTTATCAGTCCGAGCAGCGTTTATTAATTTATAAACTACTATACTAGTGATATAATTCACGATACGCCTGCGCACACGCTCAGACTTGTCGTCCCATTCAGGAGCATATATTTATCCGCGGTGTCGCCATGGCGATCATTCTGATTGCTCAACTTCAGTTTTCAAATTTATAAATGTTTTATGTTTATTAAAGCGTAAATTATGTAAACAGCATTTCTGAAAGCACTGTAGACGAAATAACGCACACGACGTGACGACTATGGCGCTTTATTTGAAGTACGCACACATTAATCCAGTATTGTGCTGAACACATTAGCATAAGATGTATGCTGAAGTATGGTTTTATTTTCTATAATAAAAGAAACAAACTTACCTATCCATACAACGCCACATCCCAGTATTGTTTTAGCTATCAATCCAACTACGTGCTTTGATTCTTCATTAGTATCTATATGCACCAACTGAGCACCAGCTCTATTATAAGCATTTAAATGTAAATCAGTATATTTAATACACAGAAATGTTGCCAGTGTATGAAATAAGGAAGGTATTTTGACATGATTCGGCTAAACGCCTATGGAGCTAAACACAAATATTTTGCTCAATGCTCAATGTTCGATCATGTATTTTACCTCCATGGTTCGATAAAAAAATAACTGATTTTATTACATACACATTGCATAGTCGCTGGCTGTCCACGAAATCGGTCTCGTGCCTTCCATTAACAATATGGTAACAGCTACCATTGAAATGTTCCCAATCTAAAACAGAAATAAACATTGTGTCACAACATTAAAATTACATAAATTATGTTATATTACTTTCTCACTTTCATGAGATTGAAGTCATGACGTATCGGTTCAATTTATTGTGACCAATGAAGTCTCAACGAAAGTATGAGGAACAGGTGTCTGGTATATTTGGTGAAATGAGCCCTGATGAATGTGAGTTCGGTGTTGCATGGTGTTAGGACTCGAAGCTCAGGAAATATAGCGAATTTGAAGTAATTATGTTACTAAAAACTAGATCTGACTGTGAATTTTGAAG